GCCACAAGAGGGAACAAGGCCAAACAAGCAGACAACATGTTACCCTAGAAGGAGCCGTCTTGTGCCAGTTCATTTCAAAACTGCAGCACAGCCCATCTGCCTATGCAGGCAATGAGCTGTGACTGGTGGAGCAGGCTGGGAGCCAGGCTGGGCAGAGGGATGCTCCTTGCCCTTGGGAAAAGGAGCCTTTGATCATCCAGAAGGGCACTGCATAGGCAGAATGACGTGCAACTTTTTGCAAAGAGGGTTCCAAAGTGATTCAACACCTTTCCAGAGACCCATGTCCCACATCTGCACAGGACACCTCCAATTCTTGAGTCTTATCTTCTGCCCCTAATTACATTTTTGTTCCAGGGAAAATCCTTGCACCTATTTTCCTTCTACTTGAAAGGAGCCTCTATGGCCAAGTTGGCAGGTCAGAAATGAGGAAATGAAATGGCAGGAAAACAAAATACATTCTGTGCCATTAGGAAGGTTATTTTGCATTTGAGGTGACTCTGCTGGAAAATTACAGCCCGTATAGAATGACTGTGGGCCCGGGGCGGTGTAGGAGAGGTATAAAAGAGACCCCATCTCCTCACTCTCTTCATCCACTCCTCTTACCTCCATCTGTCTGAGAACAAGGTGAGTGCTTTTCTTCTCCTCTTCTTCCCTGGGGATTTCTTAAACATGCCTGCCTCTTCATATTCTCCTGGATCTTGGGAGTGCTAGTCATGGGAGAGGGAAAAGAGCAGCATACGTGTCATGGAGAGAACCCGCAGCTTGGCTGAATTTCTCCGTGGCTATGGGCTAGGTGGGGAGCTTCGTCAGACTGGACAGTCCTGGCCGAGCTCTTGTGTCCAAAGTTAAGCCCATGGGGCTCCTTACACAGCTGACAGGTCACAAAACAGAACGTACCATGGCTTTCCTGCGGTGGTCTGGCACATTTCTCCTCTCTCATAGAAGTTCTCCTCTGGGCCCTCTCTCTTACCAGGTACACCTCCTGCCCCGAGACATGTCCTGCTACAACCAGTGCCTGCCATGCCTGCCATGCGGACCCTGTGGCCCAACTCCGCTGGCCAACAGCTGCAATGAGCCCTGTGTCAGGCAGTGCCAGGACTCCAACGTCTTCATCCAGCCCTCTCCCGTGGTGGTGACCCTGCCCGGCCCCATCCTCAGCTCCTTCCCGCAGAACACCGCCGTGGGATCCTCCACCTCCGCTGCCGTTGGCAGCATCCTCAGCTCTCAGGGAGTGCCCATCTCCTCCGGGGGCTTCGGCCTCTCTGGCTTGGGCAGCGGCTACTGCGGCAGGAGGTGCTTCCCCTGCTAAAGCCCAAGACAGACGCTCATCTTCCCCCAGTGCTTCCTGCACTGGTGATTCCTCTTGGAGGGACCTTGTTTCCTTCTGGATTATTAAAATTCTGCTGCATCCTATTCTGTGCCTCTGCATTTTCCTTTCCCTTATGGTCACTCCAGACACCTGGTGACTGGAGGAAGTCTTTTCCCCTTATGTCTTCTGTAAACACTTTTGCAGATAGCAGCCTTTGCCTTTTTCCAAAAGGGCAGGCAGGGTGCAAAAATTTGCAGTGTGTCTCCTTAAATGTACTGTCATTCACATATAAGTGAGATGTACACAAGTCCTGCCATCAGCCTCTGGCCACAAAGGCCAAGCTTTGCTTCCTTTGTACTGTCATGCTATTTTGTCCTCAATGCACATCCTGCAGAAGTGATGTTTAGACTGCTGGCCTCCTATGAGGAGCCAGAGCTGCCAGAGGCCCTTGAAGGCAACAGCTCCGCAAACACTTGTAAAGGGGAAGAAAGTACATTTGTTATCCTCTGGATGTTGCTGTGTTTGCCAGGAGGTATTCTTATGCAGAAAATGTCCCCAGAGAACAGTAGAAATGGGAATGAATGTGCATGTTGCATAGTGCATGTTGCCCACCTACTAAGATCTATGTCAAGTGCCAAGGGTTTCCTGAGGAAAGGTTCTGGAAAGACACTAATTACAAGAATAGTGGCAGGGGAGTACGGCCAGTTGGTGCTGTTAGACTTGTGGACTAAGTGGAGTCTGGGAGCTCTCCAAAGCAGTGTTTTCATTTAGCAGGATAAATGAGATAGAGGATTGCAGCTGAGGAAGGGGAACTGCTGAGTTGCTTCAGGGCATTCCTGAGTATGATGATGTAGGACCACCCAGAGCCCTAATCAGCAGCTGGCTATGTAGCTGAGGGACAACAAACTTTCTCCCTAAACATCTTCAATTCCCTTGGAAGCAAAAGCAGGTTTGGAAAAGATGTTTTGCTGGACAACTCCATCTATATAGATATGTACTCTACTGGAGTGAGGCCTGATGTGGTGTGGGTGCTAATCAGTCTAAGAAAGAACTGACACGTGGTTCAGTTTCCTTGCCAAAGCAGCTGGCAGTGTTCATGACTCGTCTGAACTCACAGCTACACATACCCCTGAGTTTGGGAGAGTCTCATCACTATCCCTGTGTCTGGAGGGCAGCACGTGCTACTCAACACTTCAAGGCTTGTTGGTATACACTGTCAGCAAGCAAGTAGGTGCTTTTCCTTCTGTTCATCTATTCAAGAAAAAAAGAAGAGGTGCAAATCAAGCAACTCACATTGACACTGGCTAGCATAGACAGACAACAAAAAAACGTGTATTTAAAGTATGCCAACAGCAAGAGAAGGTCAAAGGAAAACCCCTCTCAATTTGCCTAAGGTCTTGGGAGTCTGGGAAGGTCCCTGCTGACTGAAAGCTAGCAGATGTTATACCAATCTTCAGGACGGGCACAAGAGAACATGTAGGAAGCTACTGACCAGATGGTCTAACCTCAGTCCCTGGAAAAGTTATGGAGCTTATCTTGGGTGCTACCAAAAGGCATTTAAAGAACAAAGCTGTTATCAGGCATAAACAACATGGGTTCATGAAGGGAAAGTCCTGTGTTGGTACTTTGATCTCCTTCTATGTGTCCTGGTTTCAGCAGAGATAGAGTTCATTTTTTTCCAAGAAGCTGGTGTGCTGCTGTGTTTTGGATTAAGGATGAGAATAATGTTGGCAACACATTGATGTTTTAGTTGTTTGTCCTGGTTTCGGTTAGGACAGAGTTAATTTTCTTCCTAGAATCTGGTAGGGTGCTATGTTTTGGCTTCGGATGAGAAGAGTGCTGATAACACACTGATGTTTTAATTGTTGCAGAGCAGTGCTTACACCAAGCCAAGGACGCTTCAGCTTCTCACTCTGTCCTGCCAACAGGCAGGCTGGGAGTGCAGCAGGAGCTGGGAGGGGACAGACCCAGGACAGCTGACCCAAATTGGCCAAAGGGGTATTCCATACCATCTGGGGTCATGCTAAACAATATATAGGGGTGGCTAGCCAGGGTGGGGGTGCCGGACTGCTCGGGGTTAGGCTGGGCATTGGTCAGTAGGTGGTGAGCAATTGCATTGTACATCACTTGTTTTGTACACATTATTATTCTTAGTTCTATTATCATCATTATTGTTATTAATATTATTGTTATTATTATTTTCCTGTCTTAATAAACTGTCTTTATCTCAATTCACAGGCTTCACTTTCGCATTTCTCTCTCTCATCCCAGAGAGGGAGGGGGGAGGGTGAGCGAAAGGCTGTGTGGTGTTTAGCTGCCAGCCAGTTAAACCACAACACTGTTGCAAAGCACTGCTTACAGAGTCAAGGACATTTCAGTTTCTGGTGGTGCCCTGCCAGGAAGGAGGCTGGGGGGTGCATAAGAAGATGTGATGGGATACAACCAGGACAGCTGACCCAAACTGGCCAAAGGGGTATTTCATACTATATGATGTCATGCTGAAAAATAAAAATGGGGAGTGTTGGGAGGGAGAGGTGCTGCTGCTTGCAGTCTGGATTGGCATTGATTAGCAAGTGGTGAGCAACTGAATTATTCATCACTTGCTTTGTACATTCTTTTATCATTATTTTCCCTTCCTTTTCCATCCAATTAAACTGTCTTTATTTCAACCCACATATTTTTTGTTGTTGTTGTTGTTGTTTGTTTGTTTGTTTGTTTTTCCCAATTTTCTCCCCCACCTCGCTGAGAAGAGGTAGAAAATTGATAGAAAAGTTGGAGCACTGGACAATCAGCAATGGCATGAAAGTTCAACAAAGTTGAGGTCTGGGCTCTATACTTGGGACAGAGTAATGTGTCAACAATGTGCCCTGGAAACCAAGCGGGCAAACTGCATTTTGGGCTGCATTAAACACAGCATAGCCAGCCAGTCCAAAGAGATGATTCTCCCACTCGACACAGTGTTGACATGGCCTTACCTTCAAAATTGTGTGTGGTTCTGGGCTCCACAATATAAAAAGTATATTAAGATAGTTACTTGACTATGTCAAGAGGAGGGCAACAATGCTGATAAAAGGGCTGGAAGACATCCTATGAGGAGAGGCTGCAGACACTTGGTTGGTTTAGTCTGGAGAGAAGAAGGCTAAGAGGTGACCTTAATGCTCTCTACAACTTCCTTGGGGGAAGTGAAGAAGGAGAAGCCAATCTCTTCTCCTTGGTAACCAGTGATAGTATGTAGGGAAATGGCATAAAGCTGCACAAGGGAAGGTTAAGACAAGGTATCACGAAAAAATTCTTTACCATGAAGGTGGTCAAACACTGGAACAGGCTTCCTAGGGAGGTGGTTGATGCTCCCATGCCTGTCAATGTTCCAGAGGCATCTGGATAATGTTATAAATTGCCCCCTTAATTTTTCGTTGAGCATTGTATTAACCATAGAAAGGAATTTATTGAGTAAGCCAACAGCAAGCAAAACAGCACTGGGCAGCCGGGGAGTCTCGGCTCCACCAACGGCACGCACCTCACCCCCGCCAGGGTCCCTTTTTATATCTTGGTAATTCCAGGATTACACAGCACATCCTGATATATTCTGCGACTGTGCGCACTGTTGCTAGGGGGTCATCTCTGTCCCTCTGGTGGTCGTGAAGATGAAGGCCGTAGTCTTCCTCGACGTTGTGGTTCAACTTCTTTTTTTATTTGGTCGTGTTGGCCCAGCGTGAGACAGGAAGGCAGGATGCTGATACACTAGTTTAGCAACTTATCAGGAGATGGTTACATGAGCTTTGCAGCAGTGTCTTTGAACAAAAGAGGCAACTGAGATGCAGAAGGAAAGAAGGGGAGGGGGTTCTCTTTTTTGTTACATTAAGCAAAAGAATTTTCATAGTGTCTAGCCAAGCATTATACAGTTCCTTACTTCAGCAGGGAGCTTTCACAACTCCCGCTCCTCCAACAGAACTCCTTGTTTTTATAATACAAAAGACAATGAACAAATATTTATTGTGTATTACAGATAATGCCATTCAAAAATATGCTTTAACTTTTGTTTAGCCCTGATATGGTCAGGCAGTTGAACTAGATGATCTCTGAAGGTACCTTCCAACTGAACTATTCTATTTTAAATTCCAGACCAGAGTGTCAAAGGAGAGCCACATGCCTGAGGATGAAGGTAGGAACCAACTGCCAGCTCCCAGACTGGAACTGCAGTGCTCAGGCCAAAGGTCTACTTTAAATGTGAAAACACGAAGGGGACAAGGCAAGGCATATTGCTGCTTAGGGTAAGTTTTGCAGAAGTCTCACATGTTCTGTAACTGAGTGACCTGTGACCACAAAAGGACATTTTCCTGCCTATTTGCTCAGTTGCTTTGAGACGGAAGCACAGCTCATTATTGTATCAGCAATGGTTGCTTCGGGTTCTGCAGCCTAACACACAGCACAGGACAGGCATCCAAGTCACTTTTCAATTATTCCCTGACTCAAGAATGTTCTGGAAATTGGATAAAAGGGGTTATACCTGTGTGTAAACCCTTGGGCAACATAAAATCAGAAGTGTTTCTAATCCTGGTGATCCTATCAGTTTCCTGTGGAAACTCAGGATTAGCCTATCCTGAGCTGTTTTATGGTTAAAAATGTGTTTGCAGCACCCAGGCCCCTACAATACCAGCCATCTGCTTAGAAAAAGTATGTCTCCATTCATCTCATGTCTACTCAACACTTATATTTTAGTTGCAAAATGAGGTAATGATTTAGCAAAAGTGATTGGTTTTGAACCCAGCAATGTGGGGAGCGGACGCAGAGTAAAACACGAGGTTTCTTTCCTCCCATACTGCACAGTGTCCAAGAGCAGGTGAAACACAGCTTTTGTTCAAAGCTGCCTTTTTGCTCAGAGCCTTTGAGACAGGAAACCAGTGGAGGTCTGAAATCAAGTGGGATGACCAACTCAGCTTGCTTCAAAACAGCAGGAAATGGCCCAGTGGATCAGCTACCCACCAGGGCTGCACACCACACAGCTCTGCTGTGCCCTCACCCATCTTCCAGCTCCATCTCGGCACAAGCCTCCTACAAGGTTCTCAGAGCAGGGCCACGCTCTCTTTCCGCGTTTTTGGACCCGTTTCGGGCACCGATGGCGAGAAGGACACCCCGGGGGCATTACGTGAAGCGCTGGGAGCAGGGAAGGCTGTGGGAGCTTGGGGGGGGGGGGTCCCGCGCCGGGCTCTCCAGCACTGCCAGGCTCGGAGAAAATGGCGCCCGCCGGAGAACAAGGACAAGGCGTTGCCCCGGCAACCGCCCCACGGCGGGTGGGGCCCCGCGCGGGGCAGGGGTGGTTGCTAAGAGGCAGCTGCGCAGGCGCCAGGGGCAGGCGCTGCACGCGGCCCCCGCCCGTGGCACGGCGCCGAGGACCCTCCCAGCCCCGCAGCCTCTGCCCGCCATGGAGGTGGAGGATGACTTCGGTGAGCCTCGGGCGGGTGGAAGGCGGAGGTGGCCTCGCTCCCCTCTCTGTGTGTTTCCCTCCTGGATTGTCTTTGCCGTCACTGAAGCAGATACAGCGTGGGGGGGGGGGGGGGGAAGGTGTTGAGCGGAGTGGCTGGGGGGTGTTGCAGGCTGGTGGGTCTGGTGCTGTCTCTGTGACTGAGCTGTGAAGGAAGCGGTGAGCTGGGTGTCTCAGCTAGGTCTGTGCTGCTTGTGGTTACTGGATGGGGCATGGGTGGGGTCTGGCCCTTGGGCAGCGTTCAAATGGAGCCGCTGCCTCTGGTGCAGGAGTTGTGCCTGCCTGGAGGTTTTTCAGGTGATTTCTGGTGGCAGTGGAATTGTTTGGGGGTTGGTTTTGCGAGCCGTACTGCTAAGGGCTGGGGATCTCACCTGCGTGTTGATGTTGATTTGGTGCTCCAGAGGCTTTGCTTGCTGCAGCATTTTGCCTGCTTACTGCATCTGTTGACCTGATCAAGCCAGCTCCTGGCACTTCTGCTTTTGCTGCTTTGTGTAGCTACTAAGGGCTCCCTTTCCATCAGGTACTCATTCTTGCCTCCTTCCTTGTACTGGCCATGTAGTTTGTTCGATCTGTTGAGCCAGTTTAGAGAGAGAAGCCACTTCAAATTCCTATTACACGGACAGCTGAAACAGTAGAAAGCTAGTTAATCCATCTTAATAATGAAGAAGTCTTTGGTTTTCAGCTGTTGTAATGGCCTAGACTGGCTAATGGAGGTGAGAGGTACTCAAAAGCAGCAAAGCTGGCAGTGGCAGTGTAGTGCAGCTGGGATGGAAAGAAGGATTATGTACAGCATTCCTAGTGGCTTGGAACATGACCTCAGCTCAGTGTGACTTGAGGAACTGCACCTTAACTAGCTGTCAGCCTGTGGGCCAAGATAGCTCCCTGCACTGGCTATTGAGACAACTGAGCACCAATTTATGTATAATTATGGAATCATTCAGGTTAGAAAAGGCCTCTAAGATCATATAGTCCAACCTTTAACCTGGTACTGACACGTTCACCCCTAAACCATGCTACGAAGTCCCACGTCTACACATTTCTTGAAGACCTCCAGGGATCTCAACCACTTCCCTGGCTGGTGTGTTTCAAATCTGCACATCCCTTTCAGTGAAGGAATTTCTCCAAGAAAAAAACAAAAGCAAAACAAACAAACAAAAAAAACCCCTAAGCCTCCCCTGGTGCAACTTGAGGCAATTTCCCCTTGTCTTATCACTTAGTGCTTAGGAGAAGAGCCTGATCCCCACCTCATTACAACCTCCTTTAAGGTAACAGTAAAGTACAATAAGGTCTTCCCTAAGCCTTCTTTTCTACAAGCTAAACAACCACAATTTCCTCACGTGTTCCTCATAAGGCTTGTTCTCCAGACCCTTCACCAGCTTCGTTGCCCTTCTTTGGACATGAAGAAGTGGTTGTGATAGCAGGGGAGAGGCTAAACAAACTGCAGCCTGTGTTTAGGATTTGATTACAAAGCAGCTTAAAAAAAAAAAATCAAAATGCATTAAAAACCTGGGAAAAAGACCAGCAGGGAAGAAATGATGAAAGAAGCCTGGTCTGGCTCCCTGGTGAGTACACAACAGAGAGGTCTGCAGGTAGCAGTGGTCCCCTATACCTCTTTCTGGCTGCCATTCTTTTTCCTCACTGAGAATATGAAAGTGATTATATATCACAGATGTACACATTCATACTGCTTCCCTGTTAATTGCCTGGCTTCTTAGGTGTTTTAATAACTCCTTAGCTCCTAAATAATTGCATGACTTGGGAGAAACTTCACTTAAATTACATAAACCATGTTAGGCATGCTGTTTCCTCAGAAATTAAATTAAATTGGCTGGCATCTTTCCTCCAGCAAAACTAGCTGATGATCAGAAAAGACTTGGTTCGCAGTGATAAAGCTCTCGAGGGCCCTGGTGGAGGTATCATCACCCCAGTGATTCTCATCCAAAATAGTTCGAAAAGTACTACTCTCCTCATTCATTTTGAGTAACTGTGGTGATCTAGTTAATATGCTACCTTAAAGTGTTATTATGCAGTGCTACTTACTATTCTCTGTCTGTTTTGACTAATGTCTGTGTCAGCTCAAACTTCAAAGTGAATTTGTTTGGTTATGCAAAACAGGCTCCTGCCTCAGTGACGGGTTTCAAAGTAAAAACAACTGGTTTAACTTCCTAAAATCACAGCCCTTTTGTGGTGGTGTGTTTGTTCCACTTCACTGTGTTAGTGATGTTTGATCTTGTCTTTCTAACTAGTTCCCCTCCCCTGCCCCTATTCTTCCATTCTAGATGTTTTGGATCCAGAGAGATTGATACAATGTCCGTATAATAAGCACCATCAAATCAGAGCCTGTAGGTTTCCATATCACCTTGTAAAGTGCAAGAAGGTAAGCTGAACAGCCAAACAAGGCACTGAATGGGGGTTGTGCGCGTCTGTAGATACAATGTGCATATTCTCATACTGTTTTCTGACTGGCTTGAGTAAGTTCCTGACAAATAGCCCCATTTAGCCTTTATTTTGTATATTTTTATGACCTGTGTAGTAACAGGTTCAAGGACACGTTAGCTCACCTAAGACGGGTGTGGCTCTTCATGGTTAGGTCAGGGATGAAATCTCAGTTTCTTCAAGCAGCTCACGTGGAGATCAGGTAAATTTTTCTACTTCAGCTTAAAGAGAACTCAGCCTGAGTGATGTGTACCACCTCTGGCTAGTCAGAGTAGAAATGGTTTGATGTTGTAATTTGTTCAAGTGACAGAAATGCATAGCTGCTTTTTTTCTTTTTTTAATGTTGCCAATAAGTATTTAATGGCAGAAACTGCAGATCCTGTATTCAGCACACATGGGAGAGGTGGATTTTTTTTACCTCAATCTTTCATCCAGAATTTGAATACAAATCATCTAATTGGAAGCATTCCAACCTCAGTTCTCCTCTGTATCCTTAAGGTCTGTTTTTTAAACTGTCACATGCAGGTGACTGACCAAGCTTTGGGTTTTTGCTAAGACTTCCTAAAAACCAATTGTTCCTCTTTCAGCTTACCAATATGTTTTTCAAAATAGTGTAGCAGTGCTGTGCCTTTCAGTAAAGATGCAGCTGGAGGGTGTATGCACTGATAACAGTACTTACAATTAATTTTGGTGAAACTAGTGGTTTAAAAAATATTAAGTAACAAGTGAAAGTGGTGGGCAGAGCAGCAAGTACATCTATTTTTGTAGTACTCAAGAGACTTTTTCTTGTTCACTCCCTGCAAATTTTGGCAAGAATGTGCATGTGAGCCAGGTGAACAATATCAGCAAGTAAATGTTAACCTTATTGTTTTTGTCCTTGCGTTGCATAACTGTTAACCAGTCAGTTTTTGCAAGATTTCCTAATTAGAGGGTTGAGTTATAATAATGATCACCTGTCACATTGATGGGTTAAAGTTGCTTGGTCACCAGGTGCCTACTGAGCCACTCTCTCATTCCACCTCTTTAGCAGGTCAGAGGGAGAAAAAAATGTGAGTTGAGATAAGGACAGGGAAATCACTCACCATTTACCATCATAGGCAAAACAGACGTTGCTTGGGGAAGATTAATTTATTGCCAATTAATAACAGAGTAGGACAGTGAGGACTGAAAACAAAATTAAAAACACCTTCTTTCCAGCACCCTTCTTCCCAACCTCAACTCCAGTCTCCGTTCTTTTGCCTCTTCCCTTCTCTCCCCAGCAGGCGCAGGGGACTGGGGCTGCAGTCAGTTCAAAATGTTTTTTCTCTGTCTCTCCTTCCTCTTTGAGCTTTTTCCCAGAACCAGCATGGGGCAGCTCCTGACCTCTATCAGAGGCTGCTCCTGCCCTCCTCCCCTCCCCCCCCCCCCCCCCCCCCAAACCTGAACACACAAACCCAATACACAGATACAATTGGTGTCTGTAAGTAATTTGCAGAATTTACATTGATCCTGCCAGAGCAGCTTGCTGAAGCTGGTTGAAGCAATTAATGGACATGTGAGGACACAGCAGCCTAGCTGTACAGACCTGTTAAGGCCAGAACTGTGTCTACAGCTTCATAGGTGTAGGTAATGACAGGTGCCTCGGAGCCTGCACTGCAGCTGTGTATCACTGGTAGTAGAGCGCTCACTGCCTCAAGCAGCATCTGTACCACGCACTCTTGCTTCTATATCTGTCTTGGGTGCAAATCTGATCCCTGACAAGCGGAGTTGTGCCAGCCAAAGCCAGGCAGGTACTGGGACAGTGGCAAAGTTGTGATTTTTTTTTTCCCAATAAAGCAGGGGGTGAACTAATTTATCATAGTAATTGCTGAGCACTGTGAGTAGAACCAGTGTCTATGTGAAGAAGCACCAAAGTTTGCGGGTGGAATGCTTCCAGCTCCCTAGCTGTTCTGAAAGGGTTAAAGAATTTCTCTGTCTTTGTGCCTGCCTGTGTAAAAATACCTGCATAGTTTAGATTTGCCTACCATCTGTCCTCTGTTGTTTTTAAAATAGCTTCATATGTGCTTTACACCATGTAGCTGTATTGCCAGTGTTGCAGCAGGGAGGTTAGCTGAGGGTATGTTTCATTTGAGCCACCCTTGAGCTGAGTAATATTTTAGTGAACTTTTGTTTCAAAGAACAGTCAGTTTCATAGTTTCGCTTTGCAATTGTAGTGTCTGAGCAGTATTTTGCCATTCCTTGCTTTGTCTTTTAAAGCAATATCACAAATATCTCTTGTTAATCCTGTAAAAAACATAAGGAAAAATGAACTTGAGAAGCATGGCACGTGATTTTGGTTTTCTCTTCTCTAGAGCTACCCTCATGTTGCGAAGGAATTGGCCACATGTCCCTTCAATGCTCGCCATCTTGTTCCTCAAGCTGACCTCAGTGATCACATATCAAAATGCAATGACAAAGGGTTCATTGAGCAAGATATAGGTAAGAGAACCACCTGTGCTCTAAGATGCAACTTCACCCTAGGGACTGAGGTCCCCTGTTTGTCAGGATAGCTCCCATTATAACCGAAAAAGTGGGAGTCAAATTATTGTCTATAGTTTTGTGTGACACAACAGCCTTCAAAAACTTGAGTCTTGATTGCTTTGGTTTATTGAGTAGGCTCGTTAGAAGCTCCTGATAGCCTTTGCACATATTTTATTCCCAGGATTTTTGAATAAAAAGGTTGTACCCAAGCCAGTGCGTATTGAAATGCCTCCAGCAGGAGATCTGATGCTTTAATGACCAGAAAGACAAGATCTTCTTTTCACAGAGATGATCTCCCTTCATTGAGGCTTGACCACTGGTGCCATGTGAAAAGTCAAATAGGTGTCTAAGCTATGAAAATCCCTGCTGCTGGGGAAACCTGAATAGCTCACTCCTGATGAGAGATTGGTCAGCTCCTTTTGCAGACTTCTCTGCTGCTGAACTCGCTTTGTCTGCAATACAGTTAAGACTCCTGTCTCCTGCCCAGTGAGACAAAACCCCCAAATTATTAAGAAAAGCATCCTGTGCTATGTAGTGTCTCTTTAGTTCTCCTCATTGTCTCTAAAGCTATTGCCACACTACAGAGCTGGTGGCTTTCCATCTTCTGTTGAGTTGCACTGATGCTAACGGTCATGCTGGCATTTGTGTTAGCAGGCTTCCTCTCCACTTGAGCATTCCTTTGCCAGGTCCCAGGGGACAGAGTCATTTGCTGTTCACTGAAAATGTTGTTTATGGTTGCTTGATTTCCGATCTATGCTTGGCTCCTGTGTGTACCTAACCAGTTTACATTGTGTGGGGGGCATTCCTCTAAAGCAAAAAACTGTTTTACAACTTGATCCAAAGTACTTAATGCTTCTGAAGCAGGACAAATTACAGTCACTGATTTTTCTGTCATCCTGAAGTGAACCAGTCTTCTGGCTTCCAGAGAGAGCAGGTGAATGCTGTGAGCACTTGGCAGGCGCCTCCATGTGATGAAGACTGGGAAACTGGTAAGGAACTTCCCCCTTCTGCAACACTGCTGACTTCTCTCTGGTCCTGTCTTACAATTCCGCTTAGGATAGTGTGAGTCGAGAAATGCCATTCATTTAGGTCTCATATGTAGGACACCCTGCTTATGTTCTTTCCTGAAAGTATGCATAGCCTGGCTTAGCAGGCTTTTCTGGACATGAAGAATTATTCAACATGCCTGCTGTAATTGGTATGGAGATATATTTCAAAACATCTGCTCCTTTACATAAAAGCTGTTATACTTCCTATGCAATGATGAAATCAGAAGCATGGTAACTCTTATGTTCCTTAGTTAAATGACAGTGAAGCAGACACATTCATCAGGATAGATTTCTATTTGCTCTTGAACACGTAGAAATAATGACAAAGACACTCCTGATCTTTGTTTATCTTTGCTGGTGTTTCTTAGTTTTGAGCCATGTCACTTGTTTCCTTTTGCAGAGTTGTTGGAGCAGCCAAATTCCCCTTTCCTTTGGGGTATGACCAATTCTGGCATAAACAGGTAGAGTGCAAGTTTGATACCTTACCACAGGTATAAAAGAATATTCTATCCTTCTCCCAGCCCAGCCTTGATGGTTGGCTTTGCTGATGTTTCTCTCCTCCCAGGAACTGTACACTAACAGTGAATGTTTTTATGGTGCTGGTTCATTGTTACTTGCTTTCTCATATGACTCGCCCTTAAAAGAGAAGGAGACCCTTGGGCTGCAAGAATTCAGTTATTCTGTGCTCTCGTATGTCTGTGGCAGAGTGCTCTCCCTGCTGCTGTGCAGTGTTCAGTTTCTGCTGCAATTCTGGCCAGTGTGCAGGGAAGGGAGGTGCTGAGCCGCTATGTGAGAGGTGCTCAGCCATTATGCTGGCTTAGGAAATGTGGCCAGATACTTCGCTCTGGAGCCTTTTGAGAGAGCTACCTCCTGTGAAACTAATAATTAGCTAGTAGTCCATTGTGACCTCCTGTCACTTCTTTCTTGGGAGATTCACTGGCAGTAGGGCCCTGTGTTAGCAAAAATCCCCAAACTGTGATTACATTTTACAAGGGACAAGTGGGGAAGGAGGAGTATAGTAGGAGCTGTGAATTTGATGGAGCTGAATTGCCTGGCTTCAGTGATTCAACAGTAGACTGTTATTGCAGGCTATACATGAGGTGTGGTGGCAGCACCAGGGTTGCTACAGCATGTTTTAAGGTTTGTTTAAGCCCATATGTAGAAGTAGTCTTGCAGCTGACTGCTCTACAGTCTTGTGTGGGCTCAAAAGATAGTCTTCCTTCCGTAAGGGGTGTCAACAGTGCTATCTGGCTTCATTTGTTATGCTTTCTGAAACACTTTATAGTGTTTAGAGCACATGTACTTATTGTAAATGTCACCATTGCCAAGCAGTAAAGTACCATCTCCTTGTGGTAGATGGTACACTCTGCTTCATGATATAGTAAAGTGCATAAACTTAATCAAGTGCTTTTGTCATGAGAAGTGACTGTAGTCTTTCAGTTCCAGTACCACCTTTGGACAAAAGAATTACCTACCTTCAAGTGTACGTGCGCCTGAGTCCTTCCCGTATGCTGTATCAGGGAAAGGCTGTAAGTAGTGTGCATGTGGTTTTGATGCCAAAACTTCTGTAGATAGTGACAGTTACTGAAACTTCTAGCTGGAGCAGTGCCTTATGGCAACGACTGAATGGACAGGAGAGGAACTGTATAACATGGTCCTCCTGGAAAGCAGCTTCCTAAGGAATCTAATAGACTGAGTTCCTTTTCAGAGCTCCAAGCTGTGCTTCTCAGCCTCTTTGAGGTATACACTGATTAGCAGACCAGTCTTCTGAGAAATTGTGGCAAGTATAATGTCCTTGGCACATGAAACAACTTCTGTACACTTCATAGGCGTCAGAAGTTCAAGGAGAGGACAGGAGGAGAAGTAATAGGAAACAACAGCAGGGGGGATTGCATGTACCACTGAAATCTTGTACCTTAGATTGTTGCTTTAAAACAGGCATGTGCATTTGCAAAAGAGGCCCGCTCAGAGTTGTGTACTTACGATAATAATGTTTGGTGCTAGCTATAAATGAAGGGATGAAGTTATTCTGGGGGATGTAGAAATGCCCTTCATAAACTACAGCTTTGTGTGAATTCAGGCCTTGACGTAACAGAAATGTTTGTAGTCCCATTTCAGTAGAAGTCAGGAACCACAGCGTAATTTCCAGGAATTTCTACCACGTATCATAAGCATATGCCATGTACCTGCAAAACAGCTGGATTATAAGGTGTCTGAAATGATCTCTGTGGAAGTTTACTGGATACCTGGGAAAATTCTTGGTTGTGTGCTGTAGAGGTACAGAAAACTTACTCTATAGCAACCTGTGGTTAGGTAGTTAGTAGTCAGCCTGTAGTCATCTGTAGTTAGTGAAGTCATATTTAAGGGCCTATTACAGCCTGCAGAGCATAAAATACATTGTGGGAGTTTCTCAAGCCTTTAGGGAGGCCGAGACTTCCTACTGCATCCCTGCATAAGGATTAATAAAAATCATCTTGACCAGCCAAACGTAGTATTTTTCTATGCATGTACTTCTTGCTGTTTATCTTTCCAGCATCTGAGTTTGTCCACTTCAGATATGTAAAGTAGATAGCTTTGGTTTGCTAGTACATTGTAATTTATAGATACTTCTGTCTTCTTTCTAGAAAGCATCGTGATCATGCCTTTACTGCTTCAAGCCTTAAGCCTTCGCTTTGTCGTGTTGGTGCATGGTGCTTCAGTTCGTTTGATTCATCTAATAATGGGGAATCCTCTGTGAATTCCTTACAATATGTAATCCATTCTATATGCATGTACACGGGTTAAATTTAAACAGTAAGCTTAGTTACTTTTCTAGTTCCCATTAGGGTTTTGTAGTTCCCATTTAAAGAAAAGTTTACTAACACTTAAAACCTGTTGGAGAGCACTGATGTAATGTTTTTTTCCTGAGTCTGGGAAAGAGTTTAGATCACTATCATATACATCTAGGGCTGTGTAAATGTTTGGATTAAGCAGATTTGCATCTTAAAAATGATTGAAAGTACAAAATGAGGTCTAAATACACAGACACAATGAAGAAGCAGCATAGGGTATTTCTCTAGGAAGAAATTAATGTCATTGGCATTTTGAAAAGTGCTCCTCAAAACAATGGATTCTTACAATTTGTATTACTACCAATGTAAAATAAGGCATGTTGACCAGCATGTGCAAAATTAAGATTATTTTAAAGTTTGATTCTGTCAAAGTTCTTGTTCAAAATGGTAATTTACAATAAAAAGATTGTGAATAGCCTTGGACCCATGTTGTATTTCTAAAAGGCAAATGGAGTTATTTGTTACATTCTTGTTTTGTTGAATAACTAAATGGTTACTAGGTAAGATCTCCACTCAGCCTTCATTTGATTTTTATTTTTTGTTCTTTTAAATGAATGAAGCTGTGACAAATGTCAGCTTTCGATTGTTTGTGACTTGACTGCAGTAGAGGAGGTGAGCTTTGGGTGTACTTGCTCTGAGGAATCACGTTATTCTAGGACCCTGTTCTTCCTCAGGGTAAGGAGAGCACTGTTCTTCAGTAGGCCTGCCTTTCTGGAAAGGGCCACAAGCAAACAGCCTGGAAGGTCATGACTGTGACTCCAAAATATCCCCTGGCCTCAGTAATCAGGGCATAGGGACCACGAGAAGTAGGTTTGCCTCATCACCTAGGTGTAGCCAATGCATGACATAGCTCTGAGATCTAAAATCCCATATCCTTCTAGGCAACTTCCTCAAGTATGCCACAGCCTGTGAAGAGTGAGAAACCCATCATTTCTCTGTTCCCTATCGTGATTTTGGAATGCAAGATTAACTGGCTGTATGGTTGTAAAACAAAGATAACCCTCCCTCCAGCGCAATGATTATTTAAAACTCCATGTCGTTTATGGTTGGGGTGTTGGGATAAAGCTCCCTCTGACTACTTTGTATTTATCACAGAGCAAGGAATAATTTAAAGAATAAGCATGCTAAATGATACCTTCTCCAAAGTGGCAGAGGACTTTCTTGTGACTATCACTGTGGTTGCAGCCGATTAATCCTTTAAGTCTTTGGTCTCTCTTATGATGGGTGTGCTGTGCAGTGCTGGGGCTTTCTCCCACTTTCCTGGAGGATGGATGTGTTCCTTGCACAAGCTGATGGGATGTAGAGAAATAGCACATTTTGGCCCACTAGGAAGGGCTTCTGAGCATATGCCTGGGTGACTCTCCTCTAACCCGAGTTTTTTGGTGGCACAGATGCTGTTAAACTCACTCCATGAGGACTTGCACGTGTACACCTTCCTTGCTGGGCCATTTCTGCATTACCTGAGCTACCAGCTCTGGGGCAATAGAACTAGTCTGACTAGAAATCTGCATGGAAATTTGGGATACAAATGGTTGTGTTTGCAGTTGTCACATGTGACTCAGGAGGGAGGAGAGGAGGTAGCATTTACCTTTAGGCACAAGTTCTTCTCTGCTGGGGAGCCTGGACATGTGGGAGCTCCTTTCCATTCGTCCTGGAGACCTGTGGGCCCGTGTGGTGTCTGATGGGTCTCGCCACCCCCTCATTAGCACCCAGACACAGATGTATAGCTGCTCAGTGATGAGGTACACCCATGCTGTTGGTCAGCTCCAATACCAGCAGATCCCCAAATCTCTGCTCTGTCCCTGTCATTCACTACAGTTCTGCCCAGGCTTTCTCCCACTGAAGGGTTGAGCCTGCACTGCAGGATGGCTGTGTGCTATTTTTGTACCCCACTGGCTGGACCTATGCATTACACAGTAATGGGAGCACAGCATGAAGCACAAGCCTACATGGATCAGTGGGGAGCCAGTCTGCTTCCCAGTTCTGTGTTCCCTATGGGCTGTGATCAAGTCAGCTCAGCCAGATTCCTGCACATCCCCTTGTGGGGACTCTTGCTTGCTGCATCCTGCAGAGTAAGACCCTTCTCCACACCTTGGTGGTCTGGGCTGGGATGCCCAACTCCTCTCCTCTTGGCCACAGACTGCAGCTGGAGCAGGGATGCCATGAGCAGCTCTTTCTGTTCTTCCCACTTTGTCCCTGTTGTTCTCATCTGCAGAACTTAGCACATGCTTTCCCTCGGCAGAACCACACTGGCACAGGGAAAATGTCCTTTCTCCAGTCTTCCCCCTCTCTTCAGCCCCAGAGCATTGTGGAGGTGGTTTCCTCCCTAGTCCAATGGCTCAAGGCAGACTTGGAGGTGAACTTGTGTTGTTTTTTTTAACTTCATAGGTAGGAGGGCTCTGCCTTCGGCTACACGTCTTTTCAGGGTCAAGGTCTGGATGGGGTGACTTCAGTTACTGCATCCTGTCCTTCTGGCACTCAGCAGTTTGTACTACCTAGTTCTCTGGGCTTTTTATTTCTGGCACCAGAAGACCCTAGAAGTCTATGCAGTCTTCGTTTACAGTGTGTGATACCTCTTTATCCTTCTGTCCCATTCCACTTTCCCTATAGTCAAGATGTATACTTGCTGCCTACAGCCCCACAGAGATGTATTCACAATTACAAGTGTCCATATGCATGGTTCACATCCACAGTTCACATTAATCATCACAGCCCTGGAAAACACAATCTCCTTCCTCTCCCTCCCACCAGTTCAGATTATGATTGCTTTCCTCAGGTCTATATTCAGCTAATGGGGATTTGAGGTAGTTGTGTTTGCTACTAGCTGATGCCCAGGAGAACAGCAATGTCCAGTGTCACACATGCACATCAAAAGGTGCAGGGATCTTTGTTCATGTGAATAAAGAAGCTTTGAATGTGATCAGTTAAATCCTGCTTAGTCACTGTTGTAACCTAATCATCATACAAATGCAGGGTCTTGAACTACGTTGGCCCATACGAAGTGTAGAAGCTAGAGGGTGAGAAAAAGAGAGGAAGATGAGGAAAGTTCTCCATCGCATGTCCTCTAATAAGCAAATGAAGTGCTGGATGTAGGAGAGAGAATGGAATGGGAAACACCGGCTGCAAAAAATGTCCCTCCATACCTTCTGGAAGGTGAACAAGCTCCTGGTATTGTTTTGCCTACAGATTTCTGTATCCAGCTCCTTTGTGCTGTGGTCAGGAAGCCTGGAGGAGAAAGGGCTAGGTGGTAGTGGGGACCAGGCTGTCCAGGGAGTCTCTCCAGAGATCACAGCCCTCACATTCCAGGTATAGCCCAGCTGTGCAGCAGCAGGTCACCTGAGGTTACATTGATTTGTTGGCCCCTGTTTAACTCTGTAGAGATCTAACACCTGCTTCCAAGCTTCAAGTTCCAGCAGGTAAGAGTGCCTGGGGTTACTGAAGGCAGCACAGAGTCTCCTTGTTCTGGCAGATGAGGCTCTGGCCTCAGATCTCAACTTTAAAACAAAACCACATTCAAGAAGTTGTTTCCCCTTTCCCAGCTTTTAGTCAAGGTTATAACCCATAAAACCAAAAGCACGAGCTCAACTTGTAGGTCTTTTCTAACTGCTGACTCAGCAATAGGCTGAAAATCAAAGCAGTGATTGCCTGGCCTGCCCACACATTGGCTGCAGTCACAGAGCTGAGCATTTCTTTTGAAGAGTGAGCCAAACCATGCAGACGAGGTGTCTCCTTGTGCAGGCCTGACGTGCATGTTCCAGAGCAGGTAAATTGAAACAGCCAATTGACTTCCTCTGCAGGGTCTTGGAAGCGCCTTCCTACATGGAGCTCCCAGCCCTGACAGTGTCTCACTGCCATGTGGCAGCTGTCCTATTTCCTTGGAATGCATAGGTAACAGTGAGAAGGACAGTGGCTGTGTCCCATCTTGCTGCTGTGATGTCCCTCTTCTAAGAAGGCTGCTGTCAACTACTGGGATAGCAGGAGTGCTCATCCTGGAGCCCTGTCACCAAACCAGGTGGGATCCCAGGCTCTGCAGACAAACTCCCTGCAGTTTTCTGCTGGGCTCTTCTCACCTGCTGCTGGCCAGCCTGGCACCCTTCCTTCCTTCTGAGTAAAAAGGGGAAGCACCAAGCCAGAACCTGAGTTACTTGTGAAATATTAGGATGGCCAAGGGCAGCAGCGTGCCTTCACTCTGGCCAGTATAGCTGTATGTCTCTGACAATATAACTGCCCTGGATTTTGCCAGTCTGATATTATCTGAAGTTCATCCCAATTGTCGTTTCTACAGCCCATTTCTAGACTATTGATATCACTTAGTGTTCTGCTCTGGTCCCCTGTCACTGTTTTATTATCCTCTGCTCCCTCTCTTTTGCTCCTAGCTCTTCACCTCCATAAATCATGGTGCAAAGAAACTGAAGAGTAGTGGAAGAATAAATGCCAAATGATTGCCAGGGGAGGGTTGCTGTCAGGAATCCACCTGAGTGTGCAGCAGTTTTTAGTTTTCTAGGTCCAGGGGGAGCTGCAATTGGGCTGAGGATCTGTAGAGATAGCACAATCTCAACTGCAAAAGCACCAATAACAGCATATCAAGCTAAATCTGTCTGGACCATCCTTTCCACACCAAATGAGTACGTGGGAGATAGGGAGGAGAAGACTGCAGACAGGTGAGTTTTGGGGTGGGTCTTGGCTCTGCCATCGCTACAAAGCAGAAAGCAGAAAAAACTGCTGGGGAACAGGGAAGGGCTTGAATACCCACAGACCCTGGGGCAAGGCAGAGCAGAGTGAAGCAAGAGCACCCTCTGTACAGCAGCTATTGAAAGTGCTATATTTACATGGTGTTATTGTGAAAACGTGCTATTATCTTTGGAATATTACAGCTTACAAAGATAATTATTTCTCTTTTATGGTTGAAACATTCAATATTGTTACTATGGTCATGTGTAATGTTATCATTGTTTTTGTTTTACTGTAAAGCAGGTGTTGATTTCTAACACTTATCAGTTGTAATCATACATAGGGTTAACCTTTGGAAACAGTACACATATATAGGCATAGTGCTTAAGCTTTGGTTACCAGACAAGTATAAATAGCTTCTAGTACTTACCTGTACTATCTTCCTTCTAAATTAATTCCACCCCATCTAATGCACTCTATAGATACCTTAAAGGAGGCTGTAGCAAGGTGAGAGTTGGTTTGTTCTCCCATGTGCCTGGTTACGGGACGAGGGGGAATGGGTTAAAGTTGTGCCAGGGGAGGTTTAGGTTGGATATTAGGAACAACTTCTTTACTGAAAGAGTTGTTAGGCATTGGAATGGGCTGCCCAGGGAAGTGGTTGAGTCACCATCCCTGGAGGTCTTTAAAAGACATTTAGATGTAAAGCTTAGTGATATGGTTTAGTGGAGGACTTGTTAGTGTTAGGTCAAAGG